TATTTAGCTGACTTGAGTTTGATAGAGGTTTGCACGAGTAAGTTAACGTTAGCTGCTAACGTGCTAACCAGACTGTACAAGGTGCTAACCTGTCAAAACCGTCAAGAATCAGCTGTACACACAGAAATTATTTTCCAATCATAACTATTTAATTCTATATTGCTTATCGTCACCTTTAGTATTAAATGAACAAATCTGGCGTTGTTATTTGATTACGAGTAATAGTAATAAAACAGACACGAAGGCGGTAGGAGAGCCACGTAGCACAGTATAGCAGGCACGCTCATAAGTTTCGTTTTGGCGAAACACCACCTTTTCATGAGTCTAAACTATAAAGGATCCTCGTAGTGTCGGGTTTCAAGCACTGTCAGTTGATAGAGGAAGGAAATGAGGAGTTTGTAATTGTTGGTGTGTAACTGTCATGCGCCCGCAGCAGAAGGCCCAGGCCAATGGACAGACAGTGGCTGGACCTCAGGAGGAAATCAAAGTCATTGAGGAGAAAAAGAAACTCCCTCCTGCACCTGCACCAGCACCTGCACCAGCACCTGCACCAGCACAGCCACCTGCTGATACAAAGGTTGGTCCACCTAGTATTCATGCTGGTTTCGTTGAGGAAGTGTATTTGTTTGTTTATATATTAGTAGTAACAATAATTGTAGTAACTAAGGCATTTTTGGCACAGCTGTGGTGCACTTCTTTTGCATTTCTGAGGAGCAAAACAGTTTAGAGATCTTTGGAGATTTGCTAACAACGTCGAACATGCATATAACCATGATTTGACTGAAAAACTTTTATACCGCTGTGATGTAATGTAAACCTGCAGCTCAAGTCAGAAACAACATGGAAGTAATATAAACTAAGCAAAAGAATCATACTGTGAACAAAAAATCCAACTCGCGAACCTTTCCCAATACCATCCCCCCTCTCTCTCCCACCTTGCTTCCTGTCTACATACGTCCTATCTTAATAAAAGCAACAAAAAAAATACATAAAGAATAAATATTAGTATTGTAACTCTAATGTAATGATAAAACACTTACAAAGGAAAATTAAATGCATTATTTGTTTACCTACATGCCATGTGACAATCCGAGAACCATGAACAAGCAAATCTGTTGTTACTATTAAAAATTCGTTAAGGGTTCTCATGGGGTGCTTGTGAATATTTTGCTAGTGAAATTAGACAAATGGGTTTGGCAGACAAAACGTTTGTGAATATCTGCACTGTAGACTCTTTATAGACAGTAGATTATAGATATGGTATTATCCATATTATATATCATTGTTTGTTTACACAGTGTTTCAAATCGGCATGCCCTTTCCAAAGTCGCAGTTCAAGTGTCATCTGGAATCAGTTTCTCACTTGTAAATATAACATCGCTTGGTCATTCGTGTGTTCTGAATTCGTAATTATGAAATTTCCAACTCCGCTTGCAGGGCACATTAGCAATACTTGACAGGTTTGGAAAGTACATTTGACTCTTTTGCACAGTAGTGCTATGAAGGTTTGAATCAGCCTTGGTTCAGTCTGTAAACAGTGATTGAGAGAGGTCGGGTGGCAGTATCGGCCTGTAATTTGATAATGCAGATACAGCTAATGTAGGGTACATCCAGAGGGGAAACTGTGTACTTTGTCCCAAGGCCTCAACCTTTAGGCTTAGTTTTTACAAGGCCGAATACGTATTTTAAGAAATCTTTATAGCAGTCTGTCACTCTGTGCCTGTAGTAAGTGTGAGAGTAAGAAATAATACTTTGTTTCAGACTTGTCAGAAAGTTCTAAATCAGTGTTTTTGGCTCTTATGTAGACCAAGAAAAACAAGAAGAAACCAAAACCAGAGGTGAAGCCAACCCAATATGTTTCCTCCACCGATGGCAAGGAACCTGATGAAGGTATGAAACTGGGTTACTAGACTGTAGTGGCAAGCAACTTCACATTTTCAATATGAAGGTTGTTTGTTAGTGATTAGTCCCAGAAATTCAAATGAGCTGCTTATACGAGGGCTGGGCAAAAAAAAATAAAAGTTTTTTAAATGACATCGATTCGATATCGATTCTCAAAAGCCGCGA